ACTAAAAAATCTGCCATTAAATCACATATTATTTCGTTTGTCATTATAATGGAACGCGACAAACGTACACTCGAAAACTTGTTTAAACGTTTCCGCAAAATTCCGCAATATTTTGCGAGAGAGGAAGTTTCAAACTTTTTTCCTCCTCCGAGACTACATTTTTACAAACTATCTGTGAAAAAATGTTATTTTCAATAGCCTAACAATTAAATTTCTATTATTATGCAAAACGATTCGACAATGTGTAACAAACGACAATGTTTTCCACTTTCGCTCACCGTCACTGGCAATGAATATAACACTTATATGTATTGTTTAAATTACATCTCCATATTTATATATATTATATTCAACATTCCCTTTTCCATATCAAGAAATTAAACTTGTATTTTCTTTTCATGTTTTCATTACGATAAAAAAATTGTTACATCAATTTCCTTAAATTGTATTAACATAATAATTAACATAATCTGATAAAAATTTTCTTCGCAAGAAAAGGTTTTTGCAACAAACTTTCATTGTTTTGCTATGTCACAACTAATATTTTTGACAAATAATTTAATTATAAAGCGATTTCTTTCAATAATAGCAATAATTTAATAATTAATGCATTTAGAGAGAGAGAGAGAGAGAGAGAGAGAGAGAGAGAGAGAGAGAGAGAGAAAAGTTTGGTACACAATTCATAAATCCTAATTCAAACTTTACAATTTTTGCTTTGCAAAAATGATCCATAGCGATGCGACGTTTTCACTTTTTTTAATGGTACATTGCCAGTGTATGGACGTAGTAGTTTCTCTGTATCGCGAGTTACTCATGAAAGTACGGCATTCACGTATAGTTTTCGTTTTATTAATACTAACCATTTTATAATTTTCGGTCGAGAATAATCTTGTGAGAAATGGAGATGCTTCTCATGTCAGTCGCAACACTTCTCTCTTAAAATTACTACACTACTCGTCTTCAGTATCACCATCGCTACTATAATCCTGTAATGTGGGTGGTCTCGAAAAGGGTGCCTCGTTAGTTTGACTGCAACATTCAGAGAAGAAAAAGAATTTATTATTTACTATTTATATTTCAATCTCATTATTAATTATCACATTCATTGTAATGTTTAATTACTTTATATTCTTTATATTAGAATTGTTCTTTTAAATATAATACTGTACAATTATGATTCTTTAAACACAGGTCAAGAAAGTTATAAAATATACTCACGCTAATCTACGATAATGATTCAGCCATTCCTCCAACATTTGCGCAACGAGCAGAGGTCTCTTGTGAAGTTTCTGCTGCGCTACAAGTATTCCACCCTCGGTTCTGCATACGTCCAACCACTCCTTGTAGATTGATTCCTCGCGACCGATCTCATCCGTCGTGAGAAAGTGTATTGGCAGAAGCTTATGCTCGCGATCCATTAGTGGCATAAAGGTGGTCTGCATCTGGATTTGTAGCTGCTCGAGTGGACTGTTGTTCCCGCTCACTACCCCGTGGGTCGCGAGAGGCGGTATTCTGGACGAAGCGTAGGGTTCAATTGGAACCAACGCCGTGAAATGGCCACGGGTATAACCCAATGCGATTGGTGAACGGATGCAAAATGAGGGTTCCCATAATAATGGTAGATAAACACCTTCGAATCTTGCATAGCCTGCAAAATGACAGAAATAATTGATATTATTCCAAATCTTAAGAATCTTAAAAAAAACATTTCTTTCAAAATCGTAAAAAAGATTTCTAAAGAATCTTGAATTTTATGAATCTTAATTCTTGAGTTAAAAGATCTTTGAAATGTTAAAGAAAGCAAATGTTATAAAACCTTTTATGATATTTCACATGTTTGGATCTAAGAAAATGTAATTGCTATTTATAAATTTAATTATAAGTAATTATAAATATAAAATAAAAAATTAAGAAGCTAGAATTGATTTATTCAAATGTTCAGTGGAAAATTAAAATCTAATAAATTTATAGAATTTTAAAAGGATTTTAAATCAATAATTCAGTAAAATTAGTTTAGTTTTAAGTTTAGAAGTTAAATATTAATTACTGAATGAGCAAAAATAGAATATTTTCTTATTTACCTATATCTTCGCCGCGAAAGCTTTTAACATATTTAACTCCGTAGACTATAATGGGTCGTCTCAAAATGTGGGCAAGGGCAAACACGTGCAATTGTTCTAACGCGCTTCCGGGTTGAGCGGCCGTTGCTAACAAGCTTTCCCAGTCTTCTTGCCATTGTGTTTCTTCTAAAGTGAAATCTAACATCCTAGATGCTTGCGAGGCTTCATACTCTCTCCAACGAGGATAAAAGCTGAAAAATTGACGTTTATATACAAAATATACGAAGCTCATTCTAACTAAATAATCGAAAGAAATATATTTATTAAATTAAATTGAGCTTTTTATATAATTATTTTTTAACAATTCTATTTATTTTTCTTTTTTTTATTATTGTTCTATTTATCGATTAATCTGCTGATCATTCTCATATTAAAATTTTAATATATAGAGATGTATATTAATGCATTGAATCAATTAAATATATTAAAATATAAAAAATTAATGATAGATTTAATTGCAAATCTTACAATTGACCGGCTTGCTGTAAGGTGTCAGCCAGCGCTCTCCTTAGAGCATTGTCTCTATCAAAAACACCCCAAGTAGCCTGCATAGCAGAATCTAGAAGACAATCCCCGGCCGATCGGTTCCAGAGCGCATGTAAACGACTACCTAATCGTTCGGTAATTTCTAAAGACCAATTTAGAGCTGGCGGTTCGCCACCACCGCCTTCCAATTGCTGTTGAGCTTCCTTATCTAACAATTCCTCTAGCATCTGCTCTTGTACAATACTCGGCAGATCCTCAACCTAAAAATATATATCCATTTCAAATATAAAAACATATATACAATATTCTACTTCACAATCTCTTTTCAGTACGCTATAATTATTTCAAATAGAAGTTAAACAAATGAGAAAAGTTTAAAGATTTAACATTTACTCAAATATGTTGACTATTAAGAAATTAAAATAATTACTTTCCATCTAATTTACATTAAAACGTAATATATGTCATAATAACCTCGGCTGGTAACGCGAAGGTAGCCATGTCGGTAACGAAATAACAGGGAAATGAGCCCTTGCGTAAGCGTATACTGTTGGTGACATGTCGCCGAATCTGTACCGCGAGATCAGGTGCAACGTAACTCGGTACCCTTTTCACCCCTGAGCCCGAACCTTCAATTTGTGACAGCAATGTTGCTAAAATATCTTCCCTTTGAAACCTGCAGAAACCCCAATTAACATTCTATTAATCTATTAATGTTAAGAATATTTAAGAATATTTTTTTATAAAATGTCAATTTATAAACATGTATGTGTGTTTACCTAATAGCCAAGTGCACCAAGGTGTGCCCAACGTCGAACGCGCTGCTTCTATTGAGGAGCAAGACCTCAGAATGCGTCAATTGGCGGGCAGGATCGCCGCCGCTTGCCAGATAAGCTTCAACAGGAGTGTTGTCACCCTCGACAATACCGAGACAAGCGTTTAGCCAACACCAATCGGTATGGCGTCTTAATTGCTTCAATCGACGCTCGTAATCACAGTTATTCGGAGATTGAGGAGTTGACAAACTGTCATTCCGGCTCTCTGCATACCTATGCGGACCTCTGAAACAATAAATATGCATTATAATATTAATAAAAGAAATTTGTAACTTATTCAGAAAAATATTAGTCAGAAACTACATTTATTTAAAATATATCATATAAATAAAAATCGTTGATATATTTAATCCTTATGTGCAAACATATATTTACTCTAAATTCTCTGATATTTATTATGTAAATATTATTTAATATTATAACGTTTATAATTATTAAAACCATTGATATATTTAATCCTTATGTGCAAACATATATTTACTCTAAATTCTCTGATATTTATTATGTAAATATTATCTAATATTATAACGTTTATAATTATCAAAAGCGTTGATATATTTAATCCTTGTGTGCAAACATATATTTACTCTAAATTCTCTAAATAATATTTATTAATGTAAATATTATTTAATACTATAAACGTTTATATTCACATTTCATAAAAGATGTGAAATATAAAATATAATTTAGTCACCTCCTTCCTATCGCTAAATTATCCTCTCTCTGCGTCTGATGAATATATGGTGCATGTGGGGGCGATGGTAAGCCCCGTTGACTATGTTCCCGCTCGGGACTCGGTAAAATCACCCCTACGTTGCCCTGCGTTCCCTTATCCCTTCTATCCTTCTCCTTCAGATGACCGCACATGACGCATTTAGTTGCCTTGGGCCAATTCTCGTAAGTACACACATGACAAGACCACTTGTCCGGATGCATATTGTACAATCTTTCCGGATGGAGATTGATCGGCGAGGGATTCAATTGGGAATTCGATCCCGTGTTTGGTGGTCCATCGGCCAGTCGCAACGGTGCTAAATGTTCGTGTAGATTCGATGCTAATGAATTGACAGACTGATTGACCGGCTTCCGATTGCTGCACTGTACGCACCGCGTTGTATTCTGATAATTAAGATAAGTGCACATGCTGCAGGCCCACTTTCCCGCCGAAGGCAGATTCTGGCTGTAATTTTGCGAGGTAAAGTTGTCCGTGGGGCTTATCTGGGACACGGGGCCGGAAGCGACGTTGGAGGAGCCTCTTTGCGGGCTAGGATCCCGAAGACGGTAGATGTCCTCGCCCAGGAGAGGCTTGGCGCCCCTGCACATGGTGCATTTCAAGGAAGAGGGCCAATTCTCATAAGTGCAGTATTCGCAAGTCCATTTCTGCTCTGTTTCCTCGAGTCTGCTGGTCATCTTCAATCTGGATGGAGGAGTTAATCAATGGAGGTTTTGGTCTCGTTGCCGCGAGGGATGCAGTACTTCTCGATACGGAAGAAAACGTTCAGTTGAAAGACGACGCCGAAATGTGCATTAAACATTAAATATCCTAAATATCCTAGATGAATTTTTCTATGTCGCGCAGCGCATAGTCTATCGGGAGATTTGTGTCCAAAGTGTGGTTTATAGCCCGGTATACGCTATGTGATCAGCATTCTGATTGATTGTAATAAAGCCGCTAGAGATGTGCCAATGTGGACATTGGTGGAAGAATCTGAAACGAAAACGTAGATATATAAAATACATAAATATTAAATGAATGTACATGTGCGATAATGAATATTGTATAACTGGAAGCAATATCTCACACTTTTTGCATTCAAAATGGGTTAAATGTGTTATGCATAAGGAGAAAAGTTAAGACATTTTTAAAAAAATTATATATAATAGATTAAATATTATACTAAAAATGTTAAAATTATAATAGAAAAAAAGAAAATATAAAGAATAAATTTCTGCTATCAGGTTGATTCATTCGGTCAGATATTTTTGCGAAGAGAAAGAAGAAGCAAAATAAAGAAAGAAACATTGGCTGATAAACTGTTATTTTAATTGCACTTAGTTGCACTTTATTTCTTCTTTCTTCCTTTAATCTACATCTAATTTGCTTTGTAGAAAACGCGAAAAAAGCGCGAAATAAAAACAAATCTAAATGTACAAGACTCATGCTCATACATATATACATGTATGAAAATGCACAAAGTGCAGCTCGAAAGGCCAGATATTTTGAATATTGAAATGCAAAGAGAATCGACAAATCTATTCTTTTTAACCACATTTCCGCAGGCCTGAGACTCTTCCACATCGAGCATAATGCTTGTACAATCGTTTCATTTTAATGACTTCGAAAGCAGATACATATAGGCACTTGGAACTTCAAAATTGGAACGCCTCCGTCGCTCGCTCCTTTTAGCCTTTCGCGTTTCGCGAAGTCGGAGAAACACGCGGCACCGCGTGACCCGCGATCTCCCGTATATATATATATATATATACCCTCCTTCGCGTCCTCGAAAGAAACCTAACCTGGCGGAACGAAAAAGCAGAGGAGCTCCCTTCGTCGGAGGAACCGCCGCGGCCGACGCGAGGAGCGCGCAGGAAATTTACGAAATCGAATGGCTCGTGCCACTTTTCGGACGGCCGAGCGAGTCGCGCGCGACTACCTCTTAATAAATCAGTTGAACTGGTAACCTTGACGTTATCCCGTGCCACCTTGTATGAGCCCCGCACGTCGCCCGCAGCTACCGTCACACTCGGCTATCCTCCATAAGAGATCCCGCTTCAGCTCGGCACCGTCGTCCAGTCGACTCATGTACCATTCATGCACCAGCGAGCGCGCAGTTTTCGTCGAGCGCGCCGCTCTCGCGTTCGCGGGAACGGGCAGACACCAGGCGGGCAGGCACCAGGCAGGCAGGCAGGCAGGTTAAGGCTCGCTCGTTCGCTCACACGCGCGCACACGGCACACGTACGCGCGCCTGTACATGCGCACGATCAATCCCGCGAGCGCCCTTCCTTCCCACGGGATTATCCGACGGCGACGAGGAATATCGAAACGCGGGACGCGCAGGAGAGGAGGAGGACAACAGCGGCGGCGGCGACGGCGACGTCTCTCCCTCCCTCTTTCTCTCTCCCTTCCTTTCGCGCCACTCTTTCTTTCTGCTTCTCGTCTCTCTCTCGACTGAAGAGTGAAGACACACGACGGGTAGAAGACACGAGAAGCGCGAGTCGCTGTCACCGCTGATCACCGCGTATCACGACATCGTCTCTACCGAGCGTTCGCGCGCGCGCGCTGCTCCACGGCGTGCTGCTCCGCGTCACCCGGTGGCTGGCGAACTGCTTCGCGAGTACGGCGGCGGCGGCGACGACGGCGGCGGCGGCGGCGGCGACGGCGGTGACGACGACGACGACGACGACGACGGCGATCTCGCTCGCTGGCTGCGGAAGTAGGTTTTGACAGTCATCCGCAAACACAGACGGACGCCAGTACTGCCAACCACTGGCTCGCGCTCCCCTCCTCCTCTCGCCCGTCCGTACCGTTACGTCACAGGAGCATGCGCGCGCGCTGCCGCGGCTCTCCGTCGAGAGGGCGCTGGAGTCTCTGTCGAGTGCCGCGCGCCGCGGCTAACCTCAAATCTCGCGCTCCTCCCTCCGGGTGTCTCCTGCCGCCCTCGCGCGCAGCGATGGATCGCCGGATCTTCGTTGGAAACGTAATTTCGACGGTTTCGTGACGGTTCCAATGGTCACCCCGATCATCTAGTTTCCTCGTCGAAAACTGACGCGTGGATAATCTAAGCTAACCTCATTTTTTCGCCTGTCATTCCGCCGCTTTCACGCTTCTTTCTCGTTTCGCGGAGATAAATTCGAGAGACAATCTGGATCGACAGAATCAGGTAATCACGAGTTCGGAACAGATCAGATACCGCATTGAGCGCGATTGAGCAGTTTCTTTATAATTATCGTTGGAAGACCTGGAAGTTCTAACCTCGAAAAGTCTACGTGTCCATTAGTCGCGAAGAACACAATTGAAGTCGCAGAGAAACTCACGGTAATCTTGCTGATAAAATAAGATCCAGCGATTTCACTTGATCTCCACGCGAATGACGTCATCAGTGTTCCTGACAGTGCTCCCAGCTGATTTGGTTGATCCTGTTATGTCACGCGACTACGCAAGTAAACGCAAGGCTGACCTAACCTCAAATCGTGCCGCGGCTCCACGCATAATCTCATCCCTTCGCGACTTTCCCGTTTCGTCGACTGAAGCCACTGAAAATTATTCAAGAGACGTCTTTTTGCTATCAACATCCTCGAGACATCTTCCGGTCTAGAAGAAGAAAAAGAAAAGCAACGCCTGATTCGACTTTTCGCGCGTACCCTTGGCAATTCAACTTCGAACCTCGTGAACACGGCACGAATTGAATTTGCACGTGTATCTTTGGATTGTGACTTTCGCTCTGTTCAATGACTTTTTGCGATAAAGTTTGCAATGAAACTGAATCCTCACCCGAAAAATCGCGAGAAAAATGATCGCAACGGCGCGATTGCATTGTACGATTCTCGCGAGGCGATCATTTTTTATTTATAAATATCTCGGACCCGCTGCCAATTGGGGCTACTCTGCCTAAACATTATCCTTGACATTTCATCGACGAGATCGCGAGATTGTTTCGAGTCTGTCGGCTAGCTGTTCCAAACGCTACTAAAGGTTTTCCTATGTTCTAACGTAGGAATAAATATGTTACATCCTTAGATCTGCTCCACTTTACGGCATTTAAAGCGAGTCTATTCATTATAACCGCTCTCATTTTTCATATTCCAAACGTACTATAAGAAAATATAACAATAAGAAAATTGAACACAGGAAATGACAGCAATGTGATGAACATAAATATCTGTCTTGCTTTACAGATTTTGTGATTGATACAATTGGAGGATGTGGAGCGATTAGACCTTTTCACGAATTCAGCTAGACACACAATGTTAAAAGGAGACGCAACGATAATCAATCTCAAATTGAAATTAAAGAAGCAATATTACAATTTTTCTTCTTCCCTCTTTTGACACCAGGATTACGTTTTATTTTAAATATACAAAATGCAACTCGCATAACTGAAATGAGCACACTTTGTCATCTGCTCGCGATGACATCACCGAATTAGCTGAGACACTTTGGTAATGTTAATTGCCTGTCACTGCCTAAAAGCTTATGCGATTGCGACGTGAAAGATTCACACGATGACGAAAATGGACGAAATGGTGATACGGATACTATACGGAAGCGAAACCGGAACCGCTCAAGACGTTGCCGAGCAGATCTGGAAGAGCGCCAAAAGGTTTTGTTGTTGTTCCTCTTTGGCACTATGAACCTTTTTCTCTAGGAAAATTCCTGGCACGCGAACCCTACTCTCGTATCTTTAAATGATCTTTAAACAGATGATTCACTTTGATGTCCTTAATGTCTCTCATTTTTTCTATAATTAACTTCATTAGAGATGAAATCATCTTTTTCTAGCTAACAATATTCAAAAGACAGAAATCAACGATAAGAATTCATACATTTTTGTCTCATCTCTTTTTTCAATATTCATGTTATTGTATCTATATAAAGAAATGAGTAAAACGGAAAGTGAGATAAAAAAGGAAAAAAGCAAATAATATTTAATTCTGTATATGAAGTTTATTTAAAATTTAATTACAAAATTATGCAATTAAATTTTTATTTTATATCTTTATCTTACATGGACAAAATCTTATAAACTTCTCTTTCATATTATTTATATGACAACAAATCCTGTCTATCCTATATATTCTATCAATAATTTTTATCACATTCTTTGAATTTTAAGACAAAAAATAAAAATATCCTGTTTTGATTTGAAAAATAAACAATAACATTAATATTTGAAAAACAGATAATACCTTATTCTTTTCTTATGTAAAAATCAGAAAAAATATCTTATTTTAAAATTTAAAACATATATCTTAATTTGAAACTAAAATATATATATATATAACTTTAATTTTTCAGAAAAGAATTGCAAAGCACAGTATCGTCTCTGGATGATTATGACATTCAAAATCTCTCTTTCGAACAACTGATTATCTTTGTTGTCGCAACGACTGGACAAGGAGATCCTCCGGCCAATATGAAGCAATTCTGGAGACATCTGTTACGCAAGAATCTCCCAGCAACGATGCTCCAAAATTTGAAATATGGCGTACTTGGATTGGGCGACAGTTCGTATTCAAAATTCAACTTTGCCGCAAAGAAATTAAATAAACGTCTCGCGCAATTAGGTGGCGAAGAATTATTACCCATTGGACTTGCCGACGATCAGCATAATCTAGGAATTGACGCTGTGGTTGATCCCTGGATCAAAAAATTGTGGGAAGAAATTGCAGACGTTTTCAAAATTTCTACAGATGACAAGATGAGTGAAAAAAATTTAATAATCGAGAGGTATAATGTTTCAATCGTAGAAATGAGTCAGTCAAATCCGATACATATTGACGAACGGTTAGATAATCTGTATCATTCAAATACAGACATCTATGCGCAAGAAACATTCATAAATAGCGACGTCAGGATAGGAACGATAGTTGAAAACATAAAAACTACCTCCGAAGATCACTTTCAAGATGTTAGATTAATAAAAATCCAAGCAGATAATATTAAATACGGTCCCGGGGACGTTGTCTACATTAGGCCGAAAAATACGGCAGAGCAGGTGAAACGGTTCTTCGATATACTGCACGAACACAATATAAAACTGTTCCCAGACACGATAATTCAAATAACGGAAAAGGAGATAAAGGTTCCATTTGTACTAAAACGTAATTTAACTTTGGGAGAGATTGTCGAGCAGTACTGGGACCTGAATTTCAAGCCACGAAGATCCACCATGCACACTTTATCTTTTATCAGCAAAAATGAATTGGAGAAGGATAAACTGTGCGAATTTGCCAGTCCGGTTGGCCAAGAAGAGCTTTATGATTATGTAAACAGGCCGAGAAGAAACATCTTGGAGGTTCTCACGGATTTCCCTCGCACGACCACTAAATTAAACATTAAGTTATTATTTGAAATCATGTCGCCGATAAAGCCACGTCCTTACAGCATCGCCTCCAGTTTAGAAGACACTCCAAATAGAATACAAGTTCTGGTGGCGGTGGTTAAATTTAAGACTAGATTGATGGAGCCAAGATTTGGATTGTGTTCAAAGTGGCTGGCAGGTTTAAAAAGTAATGACAAAGTGATATTTTGGCTGCAGAAGGGAACTTTTCGCTTTGATAACGACAAGCCGTTGATTTTGATCGGTCCTGGAACTGGAGTGGCTCCGTTTAGATCCTTGCTTTTGGAGAGAGCAAAAAAAGGAAAAGATTTGAAAGAATGCATTCTGTTTTTTGGATGCAGAAATGAGAACAAGGATTATCATTGCAGGGAAGATTTCGAACGTTTATCTAGGACGAATAATCTAAAGGTCTTCTGCGCATTTTCCAGAGATCAGGATCACAAAATGTAAGTCATTAAAGTAAATTATTTTCAAATTATAATTTTTATTGTCCCACAAATAGATTAAGTTAAAGCTCATTATTTTGAAAATAATTATAATGTAAATGAAAAATTATAAAATATATTAAATCTTAACTTTCTTAATTATGCTTTTGATATTGATTTTCTTTTCAGATATGTGCAACATCTTATTCGCCAACAAAGAGAGCTATGCTGGCAATTTTTAGAAAATAATGGTAGCATCTACTTAGCGGGAAATTCTAAAAATATGCCGGATAATGTGCGTGAAGAATTCGTTAGTTTAGCAAAAGAAATCGGTAAAATGACGAAGGAGCAGGCAGAAACGTTCATCAACCATTTGGAGAAGAACAATCAATATCAAACGGAAACTTGGGGTTGACAAAAAACAGATTATCGAGATTTAAGGAAAATATTTAATAGGCAAAAATGTCATGTCTTTTTGTACGAAAAAAATGTATGTACATATTTAACGATGTATATGTGATAAAAATTAATATATTGTCTATATTTCCATTACAGAAACACATTGGAGATTAACAAATATTTTTTTAATTGTATTACATCCATATTACTATTATTGTCTTAGCCGAACTCTCGTAATAACTATCATTACAAAATCATACTAACTGCAATTTTGCGGATTGCGCAAGCTAAATGATCGGTTTCGTTCGAGACTTGATATCTATAAAGCGCAAGTATCTAATTAATGAGATGGAAATAGACGCTGCTGCACGTAGATGCAACATTACGTAACATTTTTTATAGCGCCACTTACCGCTTTATCGTTATTTAAACATTCACGAGGTCATCTATTATACATATGTAATTATCAGGTCCGTCCACAACATAGTCCGCGCTCGTACAAAGAAATCGGCCAATCGCCGGTCCAAAGCGAACGATATCCACAGCATCATTCTTTCTATATTGCACGCACGATTGGTCAGCCTCTCCGTGTATAAAATCTGCGCTCTGCGTCGCAATTAGCCTGTTTGAATGCAGCTTAAAAGAAACGAACGAGAGACTCGTGTAATTATCTGCAGTGCTACTGGCTCGACTGTTTGCTCGTTTTAACATTTCCTGCACACCCGAGTGCGAGAGAGATCGAATTCTGATGAGGGGAAAAAGGACGCGATCGAGAGATGAGAGAAAAAAACCGCTTGAATCCGCGCGACGCGGGCGTAAACAGGCGGGACGTCACGCCTCAACGAGCGTGATTTATCGCGCATGATTTATTAATATATCGCGGCCGCTCCTCCGCCGTTCGCAGAGGCGATCGCTCGCTGATCGGCGGCAGTCGCGTGTCGTGCAGGAGCGCGCGAGCAGGTAAACGTGTGAGTACATCCATTTTCGTCTCCCGCATCGCGATCGAAACGAAGCGGACTATACCTACCTATATGCATTTAACGCGCGCTATTTTTACACCTCCTTTTCGAACGTGTCGCTCGCGCGGCACCTCGGGAGCGCTCGGCCCTCCCCGGCGGCGCGTCGCCGCCGTGCCGCCTCTCTCGAGAGCCTCGCGTATCTCGATGAACTCGTAACCCCCCCGCGACCTAACCTAAGCGGAGTGCCGCGCCGCGCCAGTACGGAAAACATGGTACGACCGCTCGTCGCGTGCCGCCGTCCTCCCGCAGTGTTGCTCCCCGTATCTCGAACGATCTCGGCTCGACTCCGTCGCTGACTGCATCCCCTTTTTTTCCCGCGCGCTCTCTCTCTCTCTCTTTCTCTCGTGCTCGTGAAGTGCGAGGCGGACAAACAAAACCGCTCGAATCGAACCGCCGCCCGCCGCTGCCGCGTCGGCCGATGGACATTGGCACGTGATTCTTTTTTTCGCCACGCACCCACCCTCCGGGCGGTCCATTAACGTCAATCGCCGGCAATAAGCCCTGGCGATTCCGGCGAATCGCTCTCTGGTAGTCGCGCTCGAGACGGGCAACGGGGAAAAAAAAGGGTCCGCCCGGCGTTAAGGTCTGTTTCTTCTATCTTTCTCTCTCTCTCTCTCTCTCGTCGGTTGCACTCTCGCACTCCCGCACTTCCCTTAACCTTCCCTGCGGAACACGTCCCTTATTTATCTCGAGTTATCACGGAATTCCGGACGAGCGTAGAGGAGATTGTATATTTATCACGCACGCGTTAATACTTCGCCCGCTTGACTTACGTCAAACGCATTAACACGAGGTGTGTCCATTCCCTCGATTATAACATCGAGTATCTGGGTCACTGTACCTAAGGTAACTGTCCCTATAGTGTGCTTTTATATTTAAATAAATCGTAAAAATAAACTGGTACAAATGTATATAGACAAAGTATTTTTTTTATTAAGTTAAAGTATTAACTTTATAAAAAAATACTTTGTCTATTTATTTGTACCAGTTTATTTTTCGTCCTATTAATGTGCCCTATATCTATTAGTGTTCTTTTATATTTAAATAAGTCATAAAAATAAACTGGTACAAATGTATATAGACGGTATTTTTTTTATTAAGTTAAAGTATTAACTTTATAAAAAAAATACTTTGTCTATTTATTTGTACCAGTTTATTTTTCGGCCCTATTAATGTGCCCTGTATCTATTAGTGTGCTTTTATATTTAAATAAGTCATAAAAATAAAGTGGTACAAATGTATATAGACAACATTTTTTTTATTAAGTTAAAGTATTAACTTTATAAAAAAAATACTTTGTCTATTTATTTGTACCAGTTTATTTTTCGTCCCTATTAATGTATCCTGTATCTATTAGTGTGCTTTTATATTTAAATAAGTCATAAAAATAAACTGGTACAAATGTATATAGACAAAGTATTTTTTTTATTAAGTTAAAGTATTAACTTTACAAAAAAAATACTTTGTCTATTTGTACCAGTTTATTTTTATGACTTATTTAAATATAAAAGCACCCTAATAGGTACAGGACACATTAATAGAGACAGTTACGCTATACGGAAGAGAAGATATTTGATATTTTTTTTGTATTTTATATCTTTAATTGATTTGCAACTTAGAATATTTACTGCAGAGATATATTGTTAATTTAATTTTTATTCTTTAATCTTTAGAAATATTGCATTGAGTGGATATCTGGATTCATTTATTGAACTGTAATATATATTCTGATATATATTTTGAATATATTCAGATTGCAATTTGTATTTAAATTAATTAAGCTAAATTTGTATTTTATGAATTTGTAAAATATTAATATTTATAACATTTATCACAGTTTATAATTTGCTTAAGATGATTCTGAATGAATAAATAATTCAGATATAAATTTATTTACTGTTTGACATTTTTATTCTGTAGAACATTGTAATTTAAAATTTTATTTTTATATTCTTGTGCGTTAATATTTGCAATATTTAAATTCTAAGAAAATTTTTTACACTCATAAATATCATCTCATATACTCTTTATAATTAGTCTAGAAGTTTTTATGAGCGTTTATGTTTATTTGGATACTTTTGCGGTACTTACAGTGTAAACTTCATAACAATTAAAATATTATTTTCCAGACAAAGTCAAACGGTAGAGTGCAGAAAGTGTTTATGGAGTTACACTCTTTCTGGACCGGTCGTCGAGAGATGCACTAAAAGTCGCAGTTATTACTGAAGTCATCATCGAAGTCAATAGCGTTTTGAAGAACCTCCCTCTTTTCGTAACGGAGAAAAAAATCAACAAAAAAGGAAAATGGCGGGCACTTACACGAAGAAGGAATTTGGTGCGGGGCCTGAGGAACAGACCCTCCTGAAGGACTCCAATGGGACCCGCATCGTACCTTCAAAAGGTAATGGGGCCGTGGTACGCCGTCTGTCGCGTCCGCTGTCATGGCTACAGGGGAATGTAGCGGCTTTCTTAGAATGGCTTCTCTTGTGGTTTTATTTTCCCACCACGCAGCTGCCCAAACCAGTCTAGATGCAGTTTTCAGACTGTAGACTTAGCATCCTTGGCATTGACAGTGAAGTATTTGTGGATTTAACATTGGTTCGTAGCTTGTCGGGCTTGAGACATATACAAAACACATCTTAATAATTTTAATCTGATAGTAATTACTAATTTTATAACATGCTGAAGTGGACTACAATTATAACAAACTGATTTGACTACAATTTAATAATTTATCTTTTTTATGCATGATACACAATATTTATGATTTAAGATAATTCAGTGAAGTTGAATATTTAAGATAATTTGAAAAAGTTGAAATAATTGATTTTATGTTGCTCTTACAATTAGTGAAAAAATTTTAATGATTTTAAAATAATTCAGTATGTAGAATAAAATTGTAATTTTTGCATATTATTCAACATTCAATTGTTAAGTTTTATTTTGAATATTGTAAATTGTATGATTGATAATTATATTAACTACATTACCAAAGTAATTTTAACAATAGATCGATTTATTTTTTATAAATTTAACAAATTATCTTAACTGTTAAACATTTTCAAGAAAACATATTTTCTTGGACTCTCTTAATGGCTTTTCTGAGGTATCTCACACTATTATACTTCACCTGAAAACTGATAAGATATTATTTAATGACAGAAGACTTATTTTATTTTGAAGTTCATGCTTATTGCTTAATTGTGTTTTAAAAGATAATTATAAACACGCTTAAAAGACTTAGAAGTTTTGACCCATATCTTATCTTTTTCTCGTTCCTTTATTGTATTTTTTTATTTATCATTTATGTTTATATATTTATACATTTACTGCATACAGCATTTTAGATTTGTAAATCAAACTATATCAAGTTTTTTTGCATTCCTAATAGCTTCTAAAAGAATCATATTTTGTTGGGCATAAAGTTTTATTTTGCTGACAAGATATGCTGTGACATGCTGATTCAGTAAATATGAGTCTTACCTGTAGTCATTAACAGTCAGAAGCTCAAGAGCAGTGTTTCTAATTTTCAATCACAATCAGTAAAAAAATTATCAGTAATTGTAATCCACTTTAGCAATAAATACAGTTTTTTTATTCATCTTGATAATATTTAAATAATTAAGTGCAAGAAAAATGGCCGTAAAAGGTACTTGGCAATTTCTTACATACAACTTCCATAAGAACATAATTTTTTTCACATTTACATAATATATTCTGTATTATATAATCAAATTTTATGTATTAGATTTACTTTATTAGTCATTAAAATAATATTTATTACACATACATTGTTTATATTTATATATTTACTAGTTATTTTGTTTACATATTATATAATAGAATTTTGCTAATACTAATAATATTGCTTTGTGCAAAAGATTGTGCTAAGAATACAAGTGCTAAGATCTTTTTTCCATAGTTTCTGTTTGCACATCTTATAACACTTTTCTTCTACTTACAATTAGTGGTAATTGATAATCAATTACTGTATCACATATGTATATAACTTTTTGTCATTTTCTATTATTATCTTTCTATACAAATTGTTATTAATATTTCACGTATGTACGTGTTATGTTCCCAGGCTACATCAATTGATTTTAATGAATCAATTGATTGCGACATTCCATTACGGCGGTCGCACACAATTATCTTTTTGTTGTAATCAGCTGTCTCAATTATCTTTCTCTCTTTCAAATATCTTGACGTGTTAGATATGTGTCAAAGTCTTTTTGTCTTTCATACTTCAAGATTATATTGTCAGCTCGAACATCTTAAGATTGAGCAAATTTTTTATTACAATTATCTTTTTAATGTTTTATGATTATAAAAGTGTGAATTTATTAAATTTATTTGCAACATCTTTTTAAAATTAATATACTTATTATCTTTGAAATAATAATTGGCTTCTCTTAAATTTTAAAAGAAATAATTTAAGAATATTATATTAGTTCAAATAATTAATTTCTTAATAAAAATATTTAAGAAAGAGAAATCTGAATTTAATTCGAACAGGAATATTTGTTTTAATTTAATGTTAATAAAAAATTGAATGTAAAATTAAATTAATGTGTTATTTAATTTTTTAAACAATAATAAATTAAACTAGACCGCTATAGTGAATAACACAATTATGTCCATTTCTATCAATGTAGATTAACTTTAATTTCGGTTTATCTTAATTTTTGTTTTTTCTAGTTCTAAGAATAAGAAGATAAAGAATAAATTAAACCAAGATTAAAGTTAATCTACATTGGTAGAAATGGGCTTTAAACAGAGAAGCGGTAAATATTATCGAAGCTGAATCTTGGTGGCTAATAATATTCTATGTAAATTTTAAACACATTTTCAAGTTATATAAACTGCGCACCAATTACTGTCGGACTTGCAATGCAGTCATAAACTGAACAGTTCAGTTTATGACTATATTACAAATCCAGCAGTAATCGGCGCGTAGTTTATAGAACTGAAAAATGTGTTTAAAATTACGAAAAAAATATTAGACACCAAGATTTTTTGGTTTCGATCGTATTTGATATTTCTCTATTTAATTATGTTGATTTCTTAAATTTATAATTAATATTGGCATTGTAATAATATTAGCGGCGAGATCTAATGTTATAAATAGTACATAATGTACAATAATTGAGCAAATCCTTTAAGATTAACGACTTAATTTGCATTTAAGGTTCAGAACCTGTACGTCTTTCACCAGGATGGGAAGGTACAGGTAGACCAGACGACGAATTAAATTTTAAAGGCGTTACAATGGATCAAGCAGATCTCGAATTGAATCCTCCTAGAGATAGGTATAACTATATATTTATTAATATTGTTTATGTTCATATGAAATTGTATATAAACTTTGTATTATGAATTTGAAGAATAATGTAGAAAATTGTACCCACACATAATGATCACACACGCAAAAATATTGTCGATTTAACGAAAATTATATTTTATTTTTTGTTTTAGATTAAATATAGTATTTTTCATATTGATACTTCATGGAATCGGTGCCTTGATGCCATGGAATATGTTTATAACAGCTAAAGATGTAAGCCAAGTGTGATCTGTTGTTTAATAATTGTATAGCTGAATTCGCAACATTATATAAAACTATTATATATTTGCAGTATTTTGTCAAATACAAATTGTCTAAGGAATACACTGGTGTAATTACAAATTATGCGACGAATTTCCTCCCGTATCTGGCATTTGCGTCACAAGTACCGAATTTGTTATTCAACTGGCTGAATGTATTTTTACATATTGGGTACGTATACAAGATACATTTTGCATTTTCCTAGCAACAAAAACATTTTATACTTTCCTAACTTACATACATTTTTATTATAATAATAATTGCGATTGCAATGTAAATTTTGTGTTAGACCTTAGCTTATGTATGTAACGTGTTAAATAACAGTGTGCTTTATTAAAGAGACGTTCGACTTTTCAGAGGCAATTTGACAACGCGTATAGTATGGAGTATCTTTGTTCTGGTCCTGATATTCGTCTTTACCGTCATCTTGGCAATGACTGACAGTTCTGGATGGCCTGGAATATTCTTTTGGATTACCTTGGTATCTGTTGTTGTATTAAATAGTAAGTAACTGTTTTATTATATTTGCGAATACTTAAAACCTAAATTGTAGATATATAATGAATAATATTTAACAAAATTATTAAAAAATTAATATATTAAATAAAATATATAAAAAATATTTAAAATAAAAATTATTAAAAAATTTATATATATAATTATTAATAGATATCGTCATTATTGATTCATAACATTTGAATTGTGCATGATAAATTGAAAATTCATGTTTCAGCTGCCAATGGTATTTACCAAAACTCAGTGTTTGGAATGGCAGCTAAATTACCCATCAAGTACATGGGCGCTGTTGTCTTAGGCTCGGTAAATATTAGCTTTATCAATCACATCTGATAAAGAGTCGTTGCATTATTGCATTGTAAAAACACTTGTAATCTGTTGTTTTCAGAATATCAGTGGAACTTTCACAGCTATAATAGAGTTTCTAGCTAAAATAATGGCGCCAAACGCGCGCACCGCCGCCATATATTATTTCATCACGGCATTGTTCATACTTCTGGCTTGCTTCGATACATATTTTGCACTTCCAATTAACGTAAGATTTTTATTAAAAATTAATTAAATTTGTTAAGATCATCACATTAGACAACAATTAAAATTGTTAAGTCAACCATAAGTTTATTAATTAAATATAATGCGATTTATTAATTTACAAACTAAATACATATACACAAAATTATTTAACTAATGTTAATGAATTGAATTGCAGAGGTTTTATCGATATCATGAGCTTCTCCATCAGAAAGAGGCAAATAAAAGACAGTTAGAGAACAGTACAAGAGGAGGCAAATATAGACCTGCCTATTGGATGGTGTTCAAGGCGTGTTTCCCACAGTGCTTCAATACATTTTTAATCTTCTTCGTTACTTTAGCGCTCTTCCCATCTGTTCAATCCGATATACAAAAGTCAGACGAGAATTTTGTGATTCCATATGAATATTATAGCAGCGTTATGTGCTTTTTAACGTTTAATATCACTGCCATGATAGGAAGCTCGATCGCGTCATTGGTTCAGTGGGTAAGTTTCAATTTTTATATATACACTTTATATTGTTATAGCAGAGAGGATCCGAGAGAGGACATGACGGCCTTTTGGCTGTAACGCTAAAATGCCCTCGTGCATTAACGCTCTCTGAAGAAGTGGATCCAAATCACATATAGCAAAATCCACTTTTTTGCACAATTTGTAGTGCGTGTTCGTACTAAATTCAATTTTTGAGTCTGCTGAGGCTTTATTCTTGAAAAATTACGCATTCGGAAGTACGGAAATGTACCACAAATTGTGCCAAAAAGTGGATTTTGCTATATGTAATTTGGCTCCACTTCTTCAGAGGGCGTTAGTACGAGGGCATTTTTGGGCATTTTAGCGTTACAGCCAAAAAGATGGTCATGTTCTCTCCCGAATCCTCTTTGGTTATAGTCATATTTACATGTTTTTTATATTTTATTATATAGCTACAAAATTATGGTAGAATAATTAAATATCTCTATGTACTGTTTATTTATTAATCGATCTCTCTATTAATTCTTGTTTCAGCCAAGCAAAAAGTATCTAGTGATTCCAGTGGTTCTGCGACTTGCTTACGTACCGTTGTTCTTGCTCTGTAACTATCAACCGATTGACACGAAAAGAATACTGCCGGTACTTATTAATGATGATTGGATATTCTGGGTCATCGCCATTACTATGGGCCTTAGTAGCGGTTATCTGTCGTCATTATCGATGATGTATTGCCCTAGGTAAATATGATTGATGAAAAATAGAATAATTTAAAAGATGGAAGAAATTTATATAATAAATATATATGTACAATGTTACTATTGATTAAATCTTTTGTGTTTAGAATGGTGGATTCGCAGTACGCTTCGACGGCGGGCATGTTTGGTGCGGCGTCTTTGATCACCGGAATTTTCACGGGAATTCTATTTTCCATGGTGATGCCTTTCCTTGTAGCTAACATAACGTTTTAAAGATAAAATTATCGGTATCCGCGATATGCTTATATTAACTCAGGAGCTAGAAAAATATTGAAAATTAAGAATGCACAGTCTATCGCCCATAATTACAAATTGAAACATTGTGTTATTGCCAAGACATTGTGAAATAACAATTTAAAAAGAACAAATAATGTCAAAGAAGAAAGCTAAAATGTTATTCCTAAGAGCAACTCAAGAAAAGGAATTAACATTTTAGAAACGAACGTTACTTCCTTTGATACAAATAAGAGAGAAATGTTTTGGAGAATGCTCGTTTACTTATATATATATATATACACGTTAAACACATACATATTTATATATCTAATCGTACAAGTCTTTAAATAGCAGGCTATATAAGAACAAGCTTTTAATCAGATAAAAGCCGTTTGAAGCAATGCGTGTTTTTTATAAGTGTGTGGCTTGGAGTTTCTATTGATCGATGGTTTTTAAAGTCCCGTTAAAAGGAGAAATAGATACGAAAGTAAATTAAGACCCTGTAAAGTGCATTAATGACACAATATGATCGTCTCACAACAGATTTGTATAGGAAATACCGGAACCCATGGTTTTACGAGGATTATAGAAACTAATGCTACTATTATTACTATTGCCCCTATTACTGAAACCGGACCAATAAGCCTTATTAATAAAAAGAAGCTATGCGGCGCTCCAGTTTTCGTATCAAATAGAAATCGCTCTAAATCATTAAATTTATCAGGAAGATCACATATTTAAATCTGTATAATTCGTTACGCGTTTAAGGCGTGAATACAATTATTACGATTACAAGAGAGAATAAAAACATATTTAATAGAATTATTGTCAAATGCTCTCTCATGTGGCGTTAAATGCGTAACGAGAATATATCTCTTAATAGATAAGCATTACATTTTTAAATAGTTTATAGCTAAAGTTGTCACGCTGAATTTTCCTGCAGAGAATATTTTCGTTTCCAAATTAGTCTGGCCGTAGATACATAATAGTATGAAACTAATTTTAAAGACGAGGCTATATTTTAAATAACAATTTTATAAAGTAAATAACACATAGTTTTATTTAAATGTGTTCAAATTAAATTTACAATCTCTAAATTCTACAGCTAAAATCTTTGATAAAATGAAAGTTAACATAATAATTGACAAGTAATGTAAAACAAAAGGCCAAGTCTAATAATTTCTTTACATCATAATAGAAGATCTGATGTAATAGTCTTGTAATAAACTTTCATATTATTTGTAGCGTTACATTCTACTCTGTAATTACAAGGTTGTATTTTTTATTTTTTTCAATAGTGTTGAGTACTTTATTTAATATTTTTACTACATATAATATTGATGTATATTGCATTTATATGAAAAATTGCAATTCTGAAAAATCTCAAATTTTTTCAGAAGTCATTTTAAAACAGTTTTTCACTACTGTTTTATCTTATATTGATTTCAGTCATTTTAAATTAGACAAATTTTAGTATGCTTTTATAAACTTTTTGTTTTGCAACGAATCATATTACGTCACAAGAAATGATGCAGGAGAGTTAAGACTGTTGGCCATCCAATTGATACTAGTCCCCTCACAATCTTGACGACGAGCTTTTCACCTTATATTTGTAGATTAATGAGCGACAATTTAAGAAATTGGAAGTAGATGACATTTTTTTCGGGCTATGATTATGTTATACATATTTGTAATAATTACGTAATCTGTATTTTTTTTTTATCATATATACAAGGTTGTCACATGTATGCTTATGTTATTTATGCTTTATATAGCGATGAAATTTTCATGTGTTTTTTACGCATTTTATTTCAAATGGTCGTGAGATTAAGCTATACAATACGCAATACTCTTCCATTAAGCCGTACCTGGATCTCCACAATTTTTTAAATTGCAGTACACATTTGCTCCAAATAGAACTTACATATTTTTTAAATAGATTATACGGTTTAAGCTTTAAATAACAATTTTGATTGTTTTTTCAAGCTTATACTAAACATATGTACACATGTTAATATCACGTTATTATTATCACAGAAATATAACAATCTTTTATTTATTCCGACCGAAATTTTCTTTAGAACAATTTTGTAATATGTATAATATTTGTATTACATTATGTTAACTTCTAATACATTTTAATACAACTTAAACGTGTTTGTAATTTTATATTTTTGTACAGAAATTTCATTCAGATGTTATGCTCTGTTACGATACAAACAAGATGTTCCTAAAATGTTCGACTAAATTTTACCAAATTCTATTTCAGTGATTTTATTTGATTTTCATTCATTCTATTTCTATTCTACTATCTCCGTACTGATAAGAACAGATTAAATTCGCACAATATTAGAGAATATAATATGTCGAAATACTTTTAGGAACACTGAATAAGATGTGGTATATATTCAGCGGAAATGCGAATTTTATTCGATCGCATTTACACATGCATTTTCAATTATGCTAAGGTGTAAGCTCCATATATAACACATTATCT